ACACACACACACACACACACACACACACACACACGGACACACGGACACAAAGTTCCGAATGACTTTGTTTCTGTAAAGATCCCCTTGCTGTCCTGCACTAGGAGTCTAGACTACATGGCCTGAATGCTAACATGCTCTGTTACTTCCCACCTGGCAAAGAAAACAAACAGAAACCACAGTCAGCCCGCTGCTCGGCTGCAACTGGCCCCTTGATCACACTGTGGGATGGCCCGTGCTGGCTATCACTTCCAGGACCCCAGGCTCTTCTCCACCCATTGCGGCCAGGCTTCCATTCCCTCCGACCCACAGCAGATGCTCTCAGCGCATCACAAGGGACCCTCCATCCTGATGGCCACTTGCCCATTCTCACACTACCCAGCTTCCCAAAAGTATTAGGCACAGCCACTTCCTTTGGCAAGAGTCCGTCTTCCGCACTTGGGAGCCATACTTCCCTGGCTAGCTTCCCATGTGGCTCGCTGCTCCATCTTAGTTTTCTCTGTTGACCTCTCCTTTCTCTTTGCTTGACCCTGAGAGGGGGCAGAACTCCCAGGCTGGGTCTTTAGTCTCCACTCCTTTCTACCTCTGCTATTTCTCAAGGAGAGCTCAGCACACAGTGTGGCTTTCCATTCCATCCATTTGCTGATGACTCTCAAATCCTTATCTCCACTCCCTAGCTATTACATTGATGTGGATGTCTTCTAGGAATCTAAAAATCATCCTGCCAAGAACTGGACTGCCCTCCAGAATTGACTCTATTCCTACCCAACTCGTTCCCATCTCATGGGCTACATGACTATTCAATTCATTATTTATCTTCAAGAGCCACCCTGAGTCATTCTCTTAGATCCTGCATCCAGCCTCCATGAATCCTGCCAGCCTTGTCTTCCAGACAGAACCACAGCGTGGCCCTCCCTTCCCTAACAGCAGCCCAAGCCACCATTTTCTCACAAAAGCCTCCTAACTGACCTCTTCCTTCCTTCCAATCTCGCCCCTCTTCCATGGATTCTTCACACAGCAGCACAGTAGACTTTTAACACTATAAATCAGACCAATTTCTTCCCTGCGGAAAACTCTCCAATTCACTGCCTTTGGAATCAGGTCCAACAGGTTTGTCATAATCGGCTCAGGTCCACCTTCAGTCCCTCCCAATTCCTCATTCACTCTGCTCCAACCACAGCTCTGCTTTCTTCTGCCCCGCACAACACCCCACGCTCGCTCCCAAAGCACACTCCCAGAATTCCACGTGAGTCACCCTCTCTGACTCGAAGTCACGGTCTCAGAAAGGTCTTCCCCACTCACCCTAGGGAACAGGATTCTGCATCTCTTTCACTTTTGCCTCCATATCTTGTTTCTTGA